TTCTGGGGTCTCAGTCCCCATCCCTGACCTTTGGGGCTCCGCCCTGCTGCTCTCTGCCCCCCTAGGCTGGATCCGGCTGTGAAGCTCTCATCCCTGGATGTCTCCCATGTCGACCTGCTGAATGAGACGTGGCGCTTTGGGGGGAACGAGAGGAGCAGGAAATACGTGGTGAACGTCATCCGCCACTTACCCAGTGCCTGCCTCCTGGATGCCACCGGCCGCCCTGTCAGTTGGATGGCTTCAGATGAATTTGGTGCCCTGAGGCATGCCTACACTCTGCCCCAGCACCGGGGGCGCGGCTACAACACGGTGCTGAGTAACGTGATGGCCAAGCGGCTCCATTCACTAGGCTACCCCAGCTGTGGCTTTGTGGCCGTGGACAACTTCCACATGCAAAGGCTGCAGGCACCTATCTTATCCAATGTAACACAGCAGTGGACAGAGCACCCACCCTGCCCCCCAGGGCAGCGGGTGAGTCCCCAGCCTAGCGACCCAGAGCACTAGACAAGGGAGGGGTGGGTAAGTCTGGGGATCATTGTTAGGCAAATTGGAACCACTAACATCTCCTACCTTCAGCCTCAGGGCCTTGCCCCTCTCCCACAGCCCCATACCCAGCTTTACAGGGTCTGCCCAGCTCCATAGCCTGCCCTCCTTTGTGTGCCCCCGGACATACACAGCACCTCCCTATTCCACTTCCCCTGCGGGACACCCCAGCAACAGCTCAATGATCTTCCAGCCAATTAAGCTAAATATTCACCTGCACCTGCTCTGCTCTTCCTCCCCTGCATTCCCTGGGGCAGCCTGCTCCCTGTATTACCTTACTAACTTGCTAATTCCTCCATCATCCATGTGTCACCCTCCGATCACCCTGCCAGAGACCTCACCCGATTTCCTGAACCACCCCTTCCCTCTTCACTCTCCAGCCACATTTTTTACCCTTCTTCTGGAAGGGACAAACAGCAGCTTTAGACAGGGTGGTAGGGGCTGCACAATCGGACCTAGACTCCCTATACAATGAGTGGAGATAGACAGGTGCCTCAGAATAGGACTCTCAAAAGCCAGTACATTGTAATGTTTCCCCTTGGGAAATATCATGCAGAGAATTAGTTGTAAGCCCTGCCCTCTTATGGAGTTTGGCCTTTCAGGGCATATCTATACTTACGGCTAGATCAGCACTACTGCAATAGATGCAATGGTGTAAATTTAGCAGGTCTGGTGAAGACCTGCTAAATCAATGGCAGAGCACTCTCTGGTAGACTCCTGTGCTTCAGGTCCCTGAGAAGAGTAAGGTAAGTTGGCGGGAAAGCATCTCCTATTGACATATAGCGTAGACAGTGCTGTAAGTCAACTTGAGTTATCCAATTCATGTAGCATAGCTTAGGTTGACTTACAGCTGTAGTGTAGACCAACTCTGTCTGATATGCCGGCGGAGAATGGGAGGGGAGGCATCTCCCTTTGCTTCGCTCTCTGCTGCCAACTTTCTCTTGGCACAGGAACATGCGCCATTTTTGCTAGAATCTGCACAGGGGAGTAGGAGAATATCCCTCATCCACGATTCAACTCCTTTATTAACCAGATAGGGAAATATTCTGATGTGAGGCTCCCTCAATCTCTGATGCTGAAATTGTTGTATTGCACATAAAGAGTGAAAGAATATTGGGCTAGCAAGAGAACAAATGATAGTTTGAAACCGACTGGGAAGTGTGAGATCCAGGATCCAGTGACTAATTATAGACAGTGGAACAGATTCAGCAGGTGAAATAGAGGGATCATCTGATGTGGGCTCCCACTGGTTAGTGCATTCACCTGAGAAGTGGCAAATCCTTGCTGAATACTTAGTCTCTTCAGGTGGAAGGGGAACTTGAACCCATGGTCTCTTATATTTAGACCAATGGGCTAAAAGTTATGATGTTGAAGGTCCTCTTCCCCGCTGTTTCATGTAAAATATCATCTAGAAGGGGCAATCTGGGAGGCAAGCACTAAACATGCACAGCAGATCAGGCCCCATAGGCAGAGGAATACAAGCAAGGCCCAAATTACAACCAAACTCCTACCACTCATTTCCTTCCTTCAGTATTTTTAAGCATGTCGCAATTCCTCCTGCACTCAAAATTCTTTCCTTCTCTTTTCCCTTTGATCCTTTTCCTCTCCTTTATTTAACATGTCCATTCTTCTCATTGTTGCTCAACCCTACTGCTGGCCTATTTTTTAAGATGACCTTCCCCCACTCATCCCTCCAAAAAGAGGCCCAAACAGCAGCAACAAAGTCTATAAATTAAGAAGTGTGTCAATAAGCAACGTGATCGTTTAGTTGTACACACAGAGAAGGGGACAGATAACAGATATTTTCTTTGACTGTTAGTTTCTATTGGTACTGAAGGTTTCAAGTATTGTACAACACAATGGAGACCAATTTTCATTGGGCCGTAGGTACTACTGTAACAAATGTTGGACCACTACCGCAACCTCAGAGTCACCACTCAATATTAACTGACTTTGGGAATGGGGAGAAGCTGCTGTGATGAAGCAAACACCCCCTCAGAGCCCCGTTGATGAGAGATATGACACAGCGCCACTCCCGCCTGCATTAGTGGGGCATGGCCCTGTGTCCACACCTCACGAAACAAGACAGTCGCCCAGGGCCAGAGTGGATGGGCTCTGACCCCTATTCCCCACCCCTGAGCACACGTGTTCTTCCTCCTCTATCTGCCACCCTGCTCCCGGTGCCCTCAGGGTGGACTCCGTCAGGAGGCTCCTGGCCCTGGACGTCACCACACTGATCTGCTGAACGAGACGTGGCCCTACAGAGGGACCGAGCAAAGAGGCGATACCTGGCCATCCTGCTCTGTCACTTCCCCAGTCTCTGCCTCCTGGCTACAAGTGGCCACTCCATCAGCCGGAGTCTCATGGACCCCTTTGGTGCCATGGTTCACGGCTACACCCTGCCCCAGTACCGTGGGCGTGGCTACATGCAGGTGATCAGCCCTGTGACAGCCAAGCAGACGTCACTCCAGCACCTCTCTGGTACATGTCCCAGGCTCAGGGCTGGGGCTGTTACAAATTCACGCTTCATTTTGGTCCATTGCAGTCATAAGATTTTAATAATCATCAGCTTCGTGGTGTTACACATTTTAATCTGAAATGTGATGGTTCTGAAGCCCAATATGAACCAATATGAGGCTGTGGGGGCACATTGAAAGCCATTGGTGGGATCATAGGATTGATACCCCTTCGCCCCCTGTTCTGAGGACCTGTTAACTAGGCTGCTGCTGGCAAGGAATCTGCCTTCACTTCAGAGCTGGGCTCCTGGCCAGCAGCTGCTCCCCTCCAGTTGGTCACTCACCTTCTAAATGAATCGTTGCTGCCGGCAGCTGCATAAAGCGAAGGGGGACAATCCGCCAGTACCTTGCAATAGCCAGTCCTCATGCAACAGACCAGATTTCATGGTCCATAGCGCACTTTTACAGTCACAAATTTGCTAAGGCCCTACTCCTGGGGCCAAGTCCCACAGCTCCATTACCAGGTTCTCTGCATCCGTTTCCCTTCACTGACCCAACGTTATCTTTCAAACAGCCTAGCAACTTTAACCAAGTCCCACCCGAAACAGCTCTATGCCAGCCACAATGCCCTGCGGCTCAGGGGTGGTACGGCCCCATAATAGTTAAATGTCCCTAAGGTCACCTCTGACCTTTGGCAGACGTCTGAGAACGAGCTGTTCCCGATGTGACGTCCTGCCCCGCTAAAGGCATTTTTAATCTTATGTTTTGGGGACACTGTACCTGCAGGACAGGGAATACTTCAGGCTACACTTAACCTAGTAATCAATAAATAAATGCCATGAGGGAGAGTTTGTGGGGAGAGGGAGTTGGGAGGCAGGGGAATAGGGCTGCAGGGGATTGAGACTGCAGCACACGGAGGAGTGTTACAGGGAGATCAGAAGCATTAGGGGGTTCAGATGAGGAAGTTGAGTATTGGGAGGGGTGATACGATGGTGGCAGCGAGGGGGGGGAGTATCAGGCACATTCTCTCTTCCAATACAATTGCAAAGGCCTGCTCCTTTTGAGAGTGCTGGATGCTCCCCTTAGAATCCCGGGGCTCCTCTACCTCAAGTGGTCTCTGAGTCCCTCTCCTCGCCCCTGTGCAGGTGCCGGGATTTGGAGGTCCTGGCACATTATAGTGTTTTCTGACCCCTTGTCTTGTTTCCCCTCAAGAGTCCTGGGATCTGGGGGATGTTGCCTCTCTGGGGGGTTGTGACAGCAAGTTCAGGGTCCCCCTGATCATGAAGCCCCGTAGCAGCGAGAACAGACTCCGCCAGCCC